ATTTGAATCTGATTTGATGGATGCAATTTGTGGGTCCCACATTTTGAACTAATTTTGGTCAAGGATTTTGATTGAAATGGGCCAACCTTATCAATATCCTGCAAAACCCCTTCCCCTTCCGCTCGAATCTTGTCCCAAATCATAATTTACCTTCTCATTTGTATGATTTTTTTTCCTTTTTCAATTCATTAACAATTTCTTTTGTTATTTTCTTGTAAGGTTTCCATCACTTTCAAAGCATTAATTTGACTTTGATTTACCTTCTCATTATTTTATTTTATTTTATTTTGAAATTTAGTTTAGAAAAAGATTACAATATTAATTATTGATTAGTAAATTATGTTTATATTGTTTAATTGATAAATTATGATTATATTAAGTAATTGATTAGTGAATTATGATTTTATTAATTAATTGATTGATAAATTATAACTACATTGATTATATTCATTTTTAATTTTAGTTTAGAAAATATGTTCCGCAAATTATCAAATTGACGTATTATTATTTGTGTAGGGATATGAATGTTTTTTTTTAAATAAAAATTTAAGGAAATATTTCACATGTTAGGGGATGGCAGTTGGATGTATTATTGTTTAAATGATGATGGTTGTCTTATTGATGAATTCAAAATTGGCATAGAGTTCTTTTTTGATTATGCATTTTCTTAATCCTATTCAAAATTTTGTAGCAGAAATCACATTAGGTGTGCATGGAAATATATGAACCAAGAATGGCATCGTCATGTTACTATGTAATGTCATTTGACAAAAAAAGATTTTATGAATTTGTATCTAGTCTAGCTTGCACACGGAGAGCAATCAGTGCAAAAGTGACAACATCATCAATGGGGTGAATCCTCAAGTGCAGCTCCCTTTGTGATGTAAGAACCAGGTAATGATTCAATTAGAGAGATGGTTATGCATGCAATAAATCCACATGGCATAGACTATAATTTGAATGAACAAGCTAGTAAGGACCCAATATTTGAGGAGGATGGGAGATGCAAAGGAATTATTTTATCTTTTGCAAGCTGCTAACACGTTATTTTATAATGGATGTGATGAGGGTGATATAATACTTAAAGAGGTGTCTCATTTTATGAATGCAAAAATATTTTATAATATGAGTATGGCTAATTGGGATTACGTATTAAAGTATAGTAAGAGATGGATGAAGCTAGAGGATTAGGATAGAATTCCAAAAGATTTTTTATAGTACTAAAAAAATGATGAGGCACTTCAGTTTAGCTTATAAGAAGTATGATATTTGTGTAAATAATTGCTTCTTGTATTACAAGAAATACAAAAACAAAAACTACATCACATGTATAGTATGTGGTGAACTTCATTATAAGTAAGGGCATAAGCAACAAAATCAGAAACATATACCAAGGAAGTCATTGTGGCACCTCCCAATTACACCTGGAGTAAAGAGGTTGTACATGTGTAGAAAAATTGCTAAGCTCATGACATGGCACCTTAGTTTTGTTAGTGAATCTGAAAAGATCGCATATCCTGCCAGTGCTGAGGCATGAAAACACTTTGATCGCACCTACCCCAACTCTAGATCAAATCTAAGGAATGTAAGGCTTAGATTGTGCACAATTAGGTTCACTCCATTTTGACATACAATAGCCCTATATTCATATTGGCCTGTATTTTTGACTGTTTACAACCTACCTCCACCAATGTGTATGAAATTAGAGTCCATCTTTCTTTCTCTAATAATTAAATGCCCTCATAGTCCAAGAAAAAAAATTGATGTCATGCAACGTCCACTAATTGATGAACTAAAGGAACTTTGGTATAATGGGGTTAAGACATATGATAGCTTTAGGCATCAATATTTCATTATGAGGGCAGTACTTATGTGGACAATTAGTGACTTCCCTAGATATAGCATGTTATCTGAATAAAGCATTTATGGTAGATTGTCATATTTGTACTATGGGTAAAATTCTAAGGCATTCCACCTCCTAAATGGTCATAAGATATCATTTTTTTATTGTCACTGATAGTTTTTTACCCCCAGTCATCCATCTAGGAGAAATGGGAATGATGTTGAAAAAGGACTTGTAGAGAATCTTGCCCTACTAAAGAGATTGTTAAGCAATGATATGTTTTGACAAATTCAGTAGTTGCCTGATATACAATTTTTGGAAGCCATCCCAAAAGTATGTGATCGAAGGATTTATTGATTGGGCATAATTGGGTTAAAAGGAGTATCTTTTGAAAGCTTTCCTATTAAAGCACAAACTTAATCTACCATAACCTCGATGTAATGTACTTCGAGAAAAACCTTTTTGGTAATATATTTCACACCGTTATGGATGACCCATTGACAAAGGACAACTTGAAGGCAAGGATGGATATGGAGTTGTGTTACAATAAGCCAAGCCTTTGTATACCAAAAAGAGGCTATAATGCAAGTAAAAAACCAAAGGCCACTTGTGTCTTAAATAAGGGGCAAAGAAAATCGGTGTCCCAGTGGCTAAAGAATCTTAGATTTCCCGACGGTTTTACATCCAACATTTCTTGGTATGTGAATATGCAAGACATGAGAGTTAGTGAGATGAGGAGCCACAATTGTTGAATATTCATGCAAAGTCTACTTCCAATTGCATTTCACAATTTTCTACCAAAACAAGTTCAACAAGCACTTATAAAGATTAGTGAGTTTTTCAGAGCCTTATGTTCTCCAACCATTCATGTTATAAGTATGAAGATTTGGCATGTGAAGATTGTAGAAACAATATACTGACTTGAAAGAATCTTCCCTCCTTTTTTGGATGCAATAGAGCATCTAACAATCTACCTTCCATATAAAGCCAAGATAGAGGACCAATGCAATTCCATTGGATGTATTCATTCAAAAGGTATTATTAGAATACGTAATTTTTTTATTCTATTATATAAACTAAAATTATTTTTAACTATAATAAATTTTTACTAATTTTTTTATGAACTA